GCAGCTGGTGGGGCCGGTGCTCTGTGGAGAGGGGGGTGTCTGTTCTATATGTGGGTGCCCTGGTCTTCCCCAGGCCTCAAGCTCTATGAAACTTCCTCCCCACAGGCCGTCCACACCCTTCTTTGACCTGTTACAACATCGGTACCAGCAGCTGTGGGTACAGGAGCAGAAGGCCACTCAGCAAGCCATCAAACTGGAGAAGAAACAGAAGGTAGTGCTGCCCCCACTCTGAGGGGCTGAAGCTTGGGGGGGGAGAGGTCAACATCAGTGGAGTCAGTATGTGGTTGGGGCAGGAGGCAGGGGTGCAGGCACATTCCTGCTGCAGAGAAACTCAGATCTGTACCAGACTCACTGATGGTCTGGTTCTGCTCGCACCTAATTCTGGATGGTGTAAAAGATGGCTGGACACCAGTCAGCAGGTCCTGTCACCTCCCAGCTGGGATTGGGACCCAGTCACATTGACTCTTGCATGGAGATCTTTTCCTGAACTCCTATCCGACCTTCCTATGGAGGAAACTAGGCTCCCATTCCACCAGCCTACACAGACATGTGCTCCACGCTGGCTGGTATGACAGGGTAGGAAACCTGTCTACAAGGGTGTGTTAAAGAAATGCTTTCTTAAGCAGTAGGAAAGCATTTTGTTACTAAGTAGTGAGTAATCCTCTCATGAGGAACACATCTTCTCATACCGGATCCCAGGAGGCATCCTTACCCCACATCCTAGGCAGGGAAAGCTGTGTGGAGAAGGCAGGGCAGCACAGAGAAGTGGGGTCCAGGGTGCCTGCTGCACCCAAACCCCTCCAGCTGCTATTGATGTGAGTCATTAGCTTTGGGCAGGAAGTCATTTTGGTGAGATTTTACCAGAAAAATACTCCCTGCTTTTCTTTACGCTGCCCTGCGCATTTTAAAGTACTCAAAGGCTCTTCCTTTAAAATATTCCAAACTTCAGACTTCAAGAGAGTTCATGATGCCTCCTCAGTTGCTCCAGACCTGTGACTGCCAAGTCAGATTTTGTGCTTTTAAGATTTCCCTGGGAGTAGGGCACCAGCCAGGGATAGTGTCATGTGCCCATTATGCCGGCCGGCACCTGGGAGGTGGAGGCAGAAGAATCAGGAGTTCAAGGCCAGCCTCGCCTGCCTAGCAAGTCTGAGGCTAGCCTGGGCTGTGGGAGAGATCCTTCCTGAGAGCAGAACAAAGCAGAACATGCAGATCTTGGATGTTGCAACAATCACAGACAGCACCAAGCCTAGCTCCCTTCCCTGAGAGCTGGCAAGTGCCCATGTCCTGTCCTCAGGCATCTGAGATTTCCATCAGGTCAGCATCTCACCCTATAGGGGATCTTAGTTTGCTTCACTTCATGGAGACACTGAGGTTCAGGGAAATGAAGCAGCGGAGGCTGGGGAGATGGCTTAGTTGACACAATGCTTGCCAGGAAAGCATCAGGACCTGAGTTTGGATTCCCAGCACCGACGTTAAAAGCTGAGTGTCAGCCGGGCAGTGGTGGCGTACGCCTTTAATCCCAGCACTCGGGAGGCAGAGACAGGTGGATCTCTGTGAATTCGAGGCCAGCCTGGTCTACAAAGCGAGTTCCAGGAAAGGTACAAAGCTACACAGAGAAACCCTGTCTCAGAAAAAAAAAAAAAAAAAAAAAAAAAAAAAAAAAAAAAAAAAAAAAGCTGAGTGTCTAGTGCTGATGAAGAAGGAGGCTGACAAGAATCCCTGGGGTTTAATTGGGAAGCTCTAGGTTCAGTGAGAAACTCTAAAACAATATAAGGTGAAGAGCAATTGAAGAAGACGCCAAACACAGGCCTCTGACACCCACAGGCGTGTGCATACATGTGTGTGTGCACCCCCACACGCGTGTGCACACTCAAGGAGAAAAGAGACAGAGATGAAATGACTCCCATGGCTCTCTGGCCAAGTAAGTGCCGGCTCTCCCTGAAGCTGGAGCCCTCTTGACTTCTCGAACACTAGGAGAACAGAAAAAATGGTTCTAGGGCCCGAGTGGGGCCCAGGGGAGCCTTCCCAGGAAGGGACCACAGAGTCTTTAGGATGGCAGTCTCCCAGCGGCCTGGTTCTCTCCCAGCCAGCCCAGCACTGAAATGTTTTTAAAGTGGCCTGTGGTTCGTCTGTTACTACCTCAGGAGTCACCAGGCTGTGTGACAGTGTGGAGGAAGCATTACCGCCCCAAGCTGCTTTGTGGCTCCACAGGAGAGTGTCACACTTCAATCAACAGCTGGTTCCCGTGGCTCAGAGCCTCTCTGCCCCTCCTGCTAAAGCAGACACCCATGTTGAACCAGCCTAGGGGAGGAAAATATCTTCCCTTCCATCCATCCTGGGTTCATAGCTGAGGCCTGTGTGATAAAAGAGAGGAACAGAGCTGGAGAGATGGTTCAGGGGCTAAGAAAACATACTACTTTTCCGGAGGACCTGATTCAGTTTCCAGCACCCAGGTCTGGCGGCTCACAATGACCTATCATTCTAGCTTCAGAGGAATCAAGCACCTCTGGCCTTTGCAGGTGTCTATACACATGTATACATGCCCTCCAAATAGACATACCAAGTAAAATATTTTAAAATGTTTAAATGAGCAGGAAAAAAGCATGTGGAATAAAAATTCCTCCTGACTCAGGAATCTTTGCAAAGAAGAGCCAAAGAAACAAGCCTGTGTGTCCTCATATTGGGTTTGAGGAGGTGGTGGGTCGTCCTGGGGAAGAGGAAGAGATTATGATCAGAGGGTGATCCTGCAAGGTACGTGTGTTCAGATTCTCCTCTGTGCCCTGCATTTTTCAGAGACGAGGTGGTCCTTTCCTCCTGTGGTAAAGCAGCCCTTCAGAGGTCTCAGGGCCCTGCAGCAGATGGGCAGAGCATCATTCCTGGGATGCGGGTCCCACCTCAAGGATGAAGGGTGGCTGCGCTGGAGGAACTTGCTGGGTGTGTCTTTTCCAGAGGCTGAGGTAGCAATTTGGGATATAATGTCCTGAGTCCTATGCCCTAGCACAGAGCAGGCACTCAGAAAACGGCAAGCCAGCTTCAGAATTCTCTTATCAATCTGTGTGTGTGTGTGTGTGTGTTTGTGTGTGTGTGTGTGTGTGTGTGTGTGTGTGTGTGTGACGCATTCAGGTATACAGACACACATGTAGAAGCCAAAGGTCAACACTGTCTTCCTCAGGCAGTCTTACCTTGTCTTTTGAGAGTCTGTGACTAAACCTGGAGCTCACTGGTTCATCTGGACTAGCTGCCCAGCAAGGCCCGGCATCTGCCTATCCCCAGCTCCCCAAAGCTGCGGTTACAGACATGGACTTTTTATGTGAGTACTGGGGTCTGCACTCAGGTCCTCACACTTGCCTGGCGAGCGCTTTACCCACTGAACTGCCCTTCCAGCACCCTGCTCCGAGTCTTTGTAGGTATTGTGCTGTCTTGAACATGCTGGCGAAGCTGCCAGGGGCTGGGGCTGCTGTCTGAACTGATTACAATTTACTAGGCTTGAAAAGATGATACGTTTTCGGGTTGGGGATTTAGCTCAGTGGTAGAGCGCTGGGTTCGATCCTCAGCTCAAAAAAAAAAAAAAAAAGACGATAAGTTTTCAAGGCCAAACCACCCACATCCCAGAGGAAACCTGGCTCTGCCATAGACCAGCATGCTGCAGAGGGGACCCAGGATCTTGGACAGCAATGACCCCCAATGACATTCTTGGTGACAGCCGCCATCTAGTGAACCTTGGGCTAACTACTGTGCTCGAAGCACCCATGAGCAGCTCCTACAAGAACCATGACTGACAGGCATTGGCCACCTTTTCTAGTCAGGAAATGGAGCACTAGAAAGACCACAGGGCTGTCTGCTGCGTCCTGAAGGCCGGCTTGGCCACCTCTGACTAGACAGCCTCTCTGCTTTGACTAAAGTCTCAGCCTTGCTCTAGAAGGCAGAGTGAATAGCCAGCCTAAGGGCTTGGAAGTTCCTTGTGGACATTACATTAGCCCTGCAGCTCGACCATATGAATGTGTGCGGACAGCCTGTTTCCCTCCCTCAGTCCTCCGGCTGTCACAGACATTTGCTTCCACTAGGTCACTTGAAGTCATGGCCTGGGGTTCTACCCTTTGGAGCTAAAACAGTTGGAAGAGTTCTAGGAACAGGGAGAAGGCCATTGTACAACTTGGGCTCATATGCCACAAACAGTGCCCAGGACATTTATAGAAACGTGAAGAATTCAGATGTAGGCCAGCCAAGGTTCAAGCCCTAGCCTACCCCAGGGCCTGTCCCCAGGGAGCTGCCACCACAAAGACTGCAGGAAGGAAGGCAGTAGAGGAGCACAGGGCAGGCTGAGGAGGCCTCCTAGAGAGGCTGGAACCCACTGGGTGCCTGTGCCTCCCCAACCCCCACCTCACTATTCCAGGTATGGCTCCAGCATCTCCCAGCTCTGTGACTCCAAGTTCAAGGTGCCTGCTGGACTGACTTCTGCTGAGGTCTCACTCCTTGGCTGCAGATAGCCACCTTCCACTGTGTCCTGACATGCTGGAGAGAGAACCCTTATCATCCACCCCCTTGTTCTAAAGGCTCTAGTTAAAGCCTAGGTGAAGGTGGCACATGCCTCTAATTCCAGCACTCGGGAGACAGAAGCAAGCAGATGCTTGTGAGTTTAAAGACAGCCTAGTCTACAGAGTGAGTTCCAGGATAACCAGGACTACACAGAGAAAGTCTGTCTCAAAAAACAAAACAAGGGCTGGAGAAATAGCTCAGTGGTTAAGAGCAGGGGCTGTTCTTCCAGAGGACCTGAGTTCAATTCCCAGTACCCACATGGCAGCTCACAACTGTCTGTAACTCCAGTTCTAGGGGACCCAAAACCCTTACACAGACATACATGCAGGCAAAACACCAATGCATATAAAATAAAAACAAATAAATTATTTTAAAAAAGAAGAAAACCAAACCAAACCAAAAGTTTCTGTTTTAATGGCTCCTGCTGTGTTGGATGGGACCCCGCCCCCCTTGACTCCGTTCAACCTTAGTTACCCCTCATGAGTGTCATCTCCACACAATCACATCATGGTTAGAACTGCACCATCTGAGTTTGGAAGGACACACCTCAGTTCTGGACAGACGCCATGAACTACAGCACTGGCTATGGGCCTGCTGGTACCTATTGGTGGACATGGAATCAAGGTTCAGAAGGGATGGGCTTCCTCCACCTTTGAAACCCCGTAGAGACCTCCCAGGCTCTAAAGGAGCTCACGTTCCCTCTCCCCCAAGACACTCACCCCCACCTTCCTCCTCCTGGGTGGTCCATCATATGCACCTGCTGCATGGGACAGTGACACCCTGTTGGATCATACATTTCTTCACCTAGATACTAGAGTTCTGTGTGAACCCCAGGAATTGTGTTAGTTAGTTTTAGGGCAGGAGGGGTGTGAGGGCAACCCCCTTCCAGCTGCTGCTCAGGGGAACTAGAAACCAAAGGAACCAGGGGCAGGGACAGTGGGGATGGGACTGTTAAATGGCCTAGAAGAAAGATCAAAGCCCAGAGGAAAGTGACCCTTGAGCCTGTCACCCAAGCATCCTAGCCCCTGCCACAGAGCTCCTTGGTCATTGCCCCGGTGTGTTACCTGTGTTGTTGCTATGACAGGTATGACAAAAAATGACTTAAAGAGGCGCTCTTTAGGCTCAGTGTGTGAAGATACATCTATGGTGGAGAAGGATGGAGGTGGAGTTACATTGATGCATCTATGGTGGAGAAGGATGGAGGTGGAGTTACATTGATACATCTATGGTGGAGAAGGATGGAGGTGGAGTTACACTGATACATCTATGGTGGAGAAGGATGGAGGTGGAGTTACACTGACACATCTATGGTGGTGAAGGATGGAGGTGGAGTTACACTGATACATCTATGGTGGTGAAGAAGGATAGAGGTGGAGTTACATTGATACATCTATCATGGTGAAGAAGGATAGAGGTGGAGTTACATTGATACATCTAT